CCTTGAAGTACTGGTTCTTCAGCTTTCTATCCAACTTCCCGGTTTCCGGTGGTGGTCCTGCAGCTGAGCGTCCTCTGGAGAGCGAATAAGGAATTTGAGCCCAGCATTGCGCTGCCGTACAGCTGAAATAAGCTCAGGGATCAGCCAGCGACAAGGACGACGGTATCGGCTGCGCATGAAGATTGACCCAAGGGATAGCCAACCGGCCGATGGAAAACAATAACCGACTCAGCTGGGCACATAGGGGCATCCTGTCTCGCGACAATCAGATGAGAACGGGCGTGCACTCATCAAACAGAATGCGAGTACGCGACATCGTGCGGTGGGAGCCGTATCCTAGACCTGGCTCAGGGTCGACACCGCGGCTCGCTTTGTATGTTTCCTGTTCGGACTTTGTACAGTCATGTGGTTTGCTCTAGTCTAGGACAAGATCAACGAGCGGCTAGAATGGCCAGCCGTTTCGTCGCACTGTCTTTGTCCACCCCATGTGTTGGGAGAAAAAGCACATTGGTAAGTCTGGTCATGACAGGGTCTCGGACCCGTCTAGGCCTGAAAAGACGACGGTCTAGAATGGCCAGCCATTGTTGTTGTTGTTGTTGTTGTTGTTGTTGTTGTTGTTGTTGTTGTTGTTGTTGTTGTTGTTGTTGTTGTTGTTGTTGTTGTTGTTGTTGTTGTTGTTGTTGTTGTTGTTGTTGTTGTTGTTGCTGTTGTTGCTGTTGTTGCTGTTGCTGTTGCTGTTGCCGTTGCAGTTGCTTTTGCATTTGCTGTTACTGCTGTTGCTTTTTCTGTTGCTGTTGCTCCTGGAAACACCACGCGCCTCCAACAAGGACAGGGTTTGCGCCTCCCGCTAGCCCGATCAGCAGCAGGGACATCCCGTCCATCGCACTGTGGTGCCGTCCTCTGGAACACCCTACCCAGCGAAGTTTGCCTACTCAACCATCCCAGTGAAATCGCCGTAGCCGCCCTGCCCTTCACGCTGGCAGGCTAGATCTGCAAACTTCCTTCTATGTTCGCAATTCCGTACTCCTTGGAGTAGTCTGCACTGCGCTGCTGTTGTTGTTGTTGTTCTTGTTGTTGCTGCTGCTGCTGCTACAGCAGCTACTGCGTGGCTGTAGTTACAGTCCCTCTCGTTGTCAGGAAATGTTTGCTTATGCTACTATAAAATCTTATCCAGTGAAATTCGTATTATGACTTTGTGTGTTATAATTTTCTTGAGCTGCAGTTTTCCCCCTTTATTAAAACTCAAGCGCAGTTAAGCGTGTATTGGCTTGTGATTTCCTTTCTTCTGTTTGCTTTAGTATTTTATCATTCCACAGGTACCCCGGTCTCAGGTACTCTCATATTTGTGAAATTGTTAATTTTGCTCGTGAATTGTCCTCCCTTTTGCTTTGCTACCGTCCTCCTCCTTCCTCCACCCTTTTTCTTAGTTAACCTCATTATCACATTAGCTTCCATGTAATTGGGCTTGTAGCCCGTGTGTACTTGCGAATTCAAATAAAAACATACATACATACCTACTTTGAATACTTGGACTTTTTCGAGAGAGCACAAAAAATTGCGTGACGAGGTTCACATCGTATCATGGGCGGTGTCTTGTTTCAGAGAATGGCATTGGGTTGTGCCTCTATTGATGCAGCGACGAACGAATATTAGGACTTTCGCTGCCAGGGCGTCCTCGAGGGCCGGAAGACAGAGCCTCTCGAAGAGCCCTGCAGTGGAAGTCCACGGTGGAAAGCCAAAGAAGGCACGGCACGCATTGCAGCTTTCGTCATACGAGTGAGGGCGTCCGTGCTTCTGGCCATCAGAGATCTCGGATAGTTTGCATAGGACGCGTATTTTACTCTGGATATAATCATTGCATGATAACATAGTTTTTCGAGGACACCGTCAAGGTTTGATGTGAGTGCCATAGCACGCTAATGGAGCGTCGAACTTGGCGAATTTTGACCGGCGAACCAACACATCATTGTTGCGAGACTTTTAAAATGACTATGTAGAAAGCTAGCTGGGAATAGATGTGGACCATGATTCAGATGACGCAGGATACACCACGCCTCAGCTTGCTGCGGAGTGCGGACTGCGCTTGCCACCAGGTTTCGCTTTTCTGCTAGATCAGTAGTTGGCATCAAAAGCACCCATAATGCAAGTTTGCTGCAGATATGCCAGTTTAATGCTCGGCAGTGCTAGTTTGCTAAAACAAGCGTATAAAAAGTAAAAAAAAAGTAAATTATCGTGTCCGTTCCCGAAGGGAACTCACGACGGCCGCCAACACCCGATAAACCCTAGCGGCAGATGCAGCGCCTAACGGTGGGGGTGAGTGGATAAGTCTCACAACCACTGGCACAAGTGCCGAAAACGACCCCATTAGCTGCATCCATGTACCCCTTGTGCCTGGCCACAAGTTCCCAGTTGACTGTGGGTAGCAGCACGGCTGAAAAAACCGCTCCCAGGCAGGACTTGAACCAGGTACCTCTCGTATCTCAATCATGGTCTTTGACCAACCCACTGTGCCTGCCTGGTTAAACAAGCGTATAATGCTACTTATATTGCTAGCATTAGCTGCCTATTAGGAAATTAGAGGCCACATGCCTCGTACTGCTCTTTTCTCTCCGAAACTCAACACTTGCAAGCAAGATACTAAAGAAAGAAAAATCACCAGTTACACCACCAGGACTCGAACCAGGGATTGCCATTCGCGAGCAATGCTCTAATCAACTGGGCTACAGCATGACTCTAACAACCGTGATGGAAAATCTATCCTTCTTCGATCAATTAATAATGACTTGCATCCTAGTGGCAACTCACACCAATGAAGAGGGCCCTCGGCCATTCGCTGGATATCTTGGGGAGCGCATCAAACTACCGCATTTTCCGGGGTATAAGCCGCAGTTTTTTTCGCTAAAAATCGGACCAAAATCGCCCCTGCGGCTTATACACGGAATATGCTTGCGCGAATGAATGCTTAGCATACATCAGTATGCATGCTGACGTCATGTGACATGTCATTCGACTCAGCTTCGCGCCTGTGTTGCTATCCCGGCACTTTTACTAGTTTTAGTGCATCAGTTTCAGCGAGACTGAAGATAGTGTAGATAACATGGAGTGATCTGTAGTCAACACAGCAATACACCAACATCTCTGCAGCAACCTGTGGTGCACTAACACTTCATAATCTGATCTAACATGGTATTTAGCTCCATAACCATAATAGATTTGTAGAAAGGCCATTTGTCAATGAGTGTGAAAAATCTTGGTTTGTGGGTGCGGCTTATACTCCGAATACCAACTTTTAGTCAATATTTTGCCTCAAAAAGGGGGTGCGGCTTATACCCCGGTGCGGCTTATACCCCGGAAAATACGGTATGTCCACAGTAAGCAAACATCTGGATTGCAAGTGTTGAGTTTCGGAGAGTAAAGAGTAGTACGAGGCATGTTGCCTCTAATTTCCTAATTTTAATACTTTGAAATTCTCCGTAAAGTCTGAATTTGAATTTGCAAGCGTATAAGGCTACTTATAATGCTAGCATTAGCCGCTGATGCCTATCGGTTAGTGTCGTACAATGTTACCGCATGAGCTGATTGTTTAGTAACTGGTGGTGTAAGCGGACATTAGAGCGTAACTTTTAGTTCCTCAGTCCTTTTTCTTTTCTAAGAATACTTCGAACTAATTTTCACACAACACCCCTCAGGAAACTACGTTGCAAGGATGAAAAACATTCAAATGTGTTTTTCACAGCGTTCGTATCCACTGGTTTTGAACACAGTATCACCTTAGTATTTGAAGAGTATCACCTTAGTGCTAGCATATTATCAGTTTCATAGGTGTATATTCTCACTTTATTTCTCTTTATTAGTACCTTTCTTGAATGTTATTTCATTTGTAGAACGTAGCTTACTGAGGAGTGTTGTACGAAAACTAGTTCGAAGTATTCTCCTTTTGAACCATTTCTTCCATATCACTTTTGTTTCTCTTTCCTGTTCTTCGCAGCGTTCACATCCACTCGTTGTGACCACAATATACATGTAGCCTTTGTGAATTGAGTTTTGAGCTCGAACTAATTTAATCACAATTAAAAAAACCTATTGTCGCCTCGCCGCATATTTACAAATATGTAAGAAAAGACGTTCTTCTAACACACACGCTAAAACCAATACAATACCTACTGTACAAGAACTCGAATTTGGACGAGAATATTGAAGGCCCTGTGAATGTACGATCATAATAGATAAGCCTCGTTTTGTTGAAAACATGTTTTGGTTTGAAGCATGTTACAAGGTCCGGAAACAGTACACTTTTCAGAATTGACAGGTTCAAAATTCGTATGACTGAGATCATGATTTACAACTGAGAGTCTAGACTTACAAAATTAATGTTCTCTTCCCTAACACATCGGATAGACGACACACAACGGCCGGATAATATACACCGTTTACTGTGATGCCGAGACTACGTCGGGCCCTAGAGTCCTATTCTGACGAGACTTACAAATGTTCTAATCCCAACACATGGGGTGGACTAGACAGGGCGAAGAAACGGCCGGCAATTATAGCCGTTTGTCGGTCTTGGCCTCTTGGCCAACACACTGTGAAAGTATGAAGAACGAAAATAATGCTACTGTGCAGGCTACAACCAGGCCCGCCGGATGGCGGGCGAAGTAGGAGGGTTTGAGTATTACAGCACGATGTACCGTATTCGCACCCTGTCCGACCATAGCGCGCGCCCTTTCCTCAGCTTGGAGCGGGATCGGATGCCCTTATATCCCCAGCCGACGTGGTTATTGTTTTTGAGCGGCCGGCCGGTGCAACGGCGACTCCATGCCTCCAAGTTCTTCTGTACGATCTTCCCGATTTGTGCGGTAGAACGGTTGCGTTCCCGTTCCTTTGATTCACCTAAGCAATTATCAACAGCTATGCTGCTTGCATTGCATGCAATCCAGACAGTGACAGTAACCTTTTCAGGATTGATAGTTTGAAAATTATTTTTATTAATTAACACCAGACTTTACAAATGTTCTTATCCCCAACACATGGGGTAGACTAGACAGGGCGACGAAACGGCCGGCCATTCTAGCCGCTCGTCCTCATGGTGTAGGTGTATGAAATGAGTGATTACATACATGTACATACATAGTCAAATGAAATGAATACATACATACATAGTGATGTGATGCGTAATTGCATACATACATAGTGATGTGAATGATGAGTAAATGCATACATACATACAGTGTGTGTACATACATATACATACATCTCTAAGCAGCCCCGGGTGCAGGACACAGCTCCCACAGCACGATATACCTTATGCGCACCCTATCTGACCATCGCATGCCCGCGCGCTTCAGCTTGGAGCGGGACAGGAGTTCATGAAATCCCCAGCCGCGATTGGTGTCGCTCGGCTGGCCGGTACATGGGCGACTCCAAGCCGCGTCCTCGTCGCGCGGTGGTGGCACTGTCCTCTGCACGATCACACGATCCTTTGTGATGTGCAGACACTGGAAAATCACAGTGTGACGGAACGGCCAATCTAACAGCTCATCGTTCTTGCCCTAGAGCGGAGAAAAACACGAAACATGAGATAAACGAGGTATAAATTTAGGCGTTCACCGGTGCCAAAATAGTACTTGCACCACGCGACCTCCTGAGCATGTCTCCTAGTGATCGCTGTCTGAATAAGGAGAGATACAGTTTTGTAGCAAGGATACATGGGGAGCTCCCCTTTTACTTCTTAGACAGTATTGTGGCAAGGAGACGGTAGCACATTCAACAGTTCAACAGGGTTAACTATCATTGTTCCTAAATGCAGCAACTACTGGTCCAGATCAACGTTTTAGAGTTTGTATGCAGTGATAGAACCACGAGCCAACCTGAATCTTCCGCACAAAGGCAGAATTGCAACCAGCCTATGTCTTTCAGAGAGGCTCGCCCCGCAGGTAGTTTTTCACTTCTGGCTACACATCATGGTTTCAAGCCCTAAACAAAGAACTTGAGCAATGTTAAGGGGACGTTTTCTGGTCTCCTACCTTAACTAGGGAATAATATAAGCCAAGTTTGCGTTGATTTGGCACTATCTTCATGCGCAGCCGATACCCACTGTCGCATGGACCTGTACGCAGAGGAACATACACACACAATGTACATACAGGTTTTGAAAATACCACAAACCTCCATATACCAAGTCTACACCCGTCACAAGAGAGGCACGCAAATCTGGTAATGCAATGGATGTGCCCACACTGATTGTCTCTAACATTAACGATAGCGGACGTGAGTGAAACAGATCTAGACAGTAACCTATGCGCACCCCATACTAGCTGAGGTTGGTCACACACGCACGCACACACGCACACACGCACACGCACACAAACACATAGACACTGTGATCATCATTGTTAAAGCTATGAACGGGAATTGGGAGTAAAGCAGTGATATTACAAGAAGTGGCCTCGGACAAAAAAATATTCAGGGTAAACATTGACAGCGGCAGCAACACAGCTAACTCCAGACAACATACCGCTGTAGAAGGCTTCGCCATAAAATGTATGGCCACCGCGAAGACGATCGGCGATTTGGCCAAACACCTCTGTGTGAACGGTTCGGCGATGTTCCGCAGGGCGTGTAGCAACCTACACCACAACGAACAGCAGAGACCAGAATATCTTTAGCACAAATTAGATATTACACAAAAATCCCAATCACACGCACATGTAGCAGCCATGTTAGAAGAACAGTTAACACATGTGTAAAAAACTTTCTGAAAGCGTGCACTGACCTGCCATATGCTGTTGGTAAGCACATCCATCCGCTGTACCATCATATTGTTGTGCTCCTGACTCTGTTGCCAACAATGCTCACCAACATCTTCTCGCATACACTGGAGTCAAGATGGACACGCATGTACAACATAATTCAAGTCAATTAAGCCATGCACACTCATACAGTCAATAACAATAATAAAATTAAAACACATAATTTTCCAACAAATCCAGGCGTATACATGTACATCAGCGGTGCACGCACACACACGCAATGACTGTGCGACTCGTACACACAGAAAGAATGCCAAAAAGTGCAAATATGCAGAAACCTTGCAAACGTGAAGTTTAGTGTCACAACAAGCCACCAAAGTAATAGTTCACTCCTGAAAAATCCAGGCACCTGTAGATTTATCAACTATTCCGTATGGGCTACCGACTATAGAGATATCTCTATCCGAACCTGCTGGAGGAACCTGAAGTGTGTGCCCCTGCTACGGGTTATGGTAATATTCTGGGTAAGATATCAAACCGCCCCTCCCCCCCCCCCTGAACGTGGAAAATTTTAGGATTGATGGTGGACTATGTTACACAAACATTAACTTACTTCGTAGTCGCAACCAGTTCCGGCATACTGGAACGGGCATTTGACTATCACTTTAGGACAGACTCCGGTGTGTGACTGCAGAGGTTATGAACACATTTAAATATACACACACATGTTACGTACACAAACAACCTAACTCAAACACATAAGCACACGGCGTACGAGAGAGAGTGAGCGAGTCAGGGAATGAGAGAAATGAGAGAGAAGAGCGAGAAGGAAAGAAAGTATCTTGACAGTGACTGTACTTACATCATACGAATTTAAGGTGCCTGTCCACGTGCAGCCGCGCTCCCTCTTCTCACAGAACACTTCAAATCTGCCAACAATTCGCTTCGTGCCGCGATTGGGTACTAACTGCAAATATTGCGGTGACATCTTGAGCACATCATCATACAGACAGTTTTAGTTCAGATATGTGACTTACTCCAGCGCTTTCACGATGCACTGATGGCAGAACTGGTGTCCACACGCAACCACGAGCATTGGGTTGCGCAAGACCATTTGGCAGATCGAGCATTGGTAATGTTGGTCTACTGGCGTCGTGAATACATTCTCATCAAAGCCACCCATCTCTTGGGGGAACGCGCTGGTGTAGTCCGACATGCTGATGTAGTCGGACAACATTGCTGCTGCTGCTGCTGCTGCTTCCATGGCGAGTGCTGCTGGTCCTGCGGGTGCTGCTGGTGCTGGTGCTGCTGCTGCTACTACGGGTGCTGCTGCTCCTAATGTTGTTGCTGCTGCTACTCGTAGTACTGCTGCTGGCGCTGTAGCTTCCACCTTACACTGCTTAGGTTGCGGGCGACTGACATCCAGGCAATGACGTGTTTATATACTGGTGTATACATGTTGTGCAGGTTCCGGTATACCGGTACTCCTTCTACGGAGAGTTGTATTTGTTCAAGTATTCCACTCTACATCATGCTATACATGCACTGGATGTGTACATAATTATGTGAAGCAATCGTGGAAATCTAGTACAGTGCGTATCGGTTATAGTGTGGTTGTGTCAACGAATATACGTGTACATTGTACTGCCTACAAGAAGTAACTCTCATATTCTCAAAATTTTAACGTGGGTTGCAAGTGAACATTCATTTTCATTCTTACGAGTACTTCTAAATGTAAAAATAGAAGTTATGACACGAGAACGAGTTTTTAGTAGGGGTGAAACGAGTATCTATTTTGACCAACCGATCACTCGTTCATAATATTCGATCGAGTACATGTATCCGATTATTTCGAGTATATTATCAAAATTCAAAAGCACTAGATTTGCGAGTTCTCGACAAATTCGGAAGAAATTATCTGTGAACATAGAACAAAAGTCGTCAACGTCTTGTACAGAGTGTAAAGTAACGATTTTCATCAGTACTTTCATATCTCAGAACGTTACTTGCCGTGGTGATCGCATTGTCCAAGTCTTAAAATGCTGACTGAAAGCCATGCATAACGCATGCATACCAGTGGACCAGCCGTACAACAAAAGTTTTTGAAAAATACAATGCCAATACTAAAAAAAAACAAAAAAAAACAAAAAAACAAAAAACGATCGAGTGCAAAATTTCGAATACTCGCTCGTTTGAAATTTTCGAACGAATACTCGAATATTCGAACTAATCGTTTCACCCCTAGTTTTTAGTGATTCTTCTTCTATTCTACATAAAATATAATAGTAGAAATCTCACGGAAACGAGTTATGAAGCAAATTATATGTATAATTATATGATTGCACAAGAGGTTAATATATGAAATTTCGAATGAGTAAAAGACCGAGGTCCGCAGAGGTCTTTTCCGAGGTCTACATTGTATATTTCATATATTGACCGATTGTGAGGACAATAATAGATTTATCACGACATGTCATGCCTAACCTGTTTTAGCTGTGTTTATAGGAAGAAAGGAATACCATTGTAATAGTATATTATAGTATGTACATATGCCGTTTAAACAAACGGCGAGGAGACAACAATTTGATAACCGCAATCAGTAATACAAGCTGGATCGACATTTGTGTACACTGTATTCATGTAATAGTACATAGTATGTACATGAGTATGCCGTTTACATTGGACATTACTTCTCGATAAACAAAAGTTTTCGGTTGTCACTTGTAGTATGTTCCCCAAGTTCTTTGACTGAGAATCTGACAGTTTGGGTTCAAATCCCCACATTTGGCTTCAGATTTTTCTTCTTTCAGTTCTGATTTCTTGAAGTTGAGGAAAAAGTTCTATGTCCTCAGGCTAAGTGGTCAATAATAAGTGGTCAATATATTAAAGCGGTCAATATAATTATGCTGATATTTTACCGCTTAAATATCACCAGTTTCTGTGGTGGTCAATGATAAGAGTGCGATAATGCAATAATAATATTAATAGTAATATTGAACGGTTTCCGAGAGGATGACGACTACGCCATAGCTCAGTGCTATGCTAAGAGCACAGAAATGTGCGTCACAAGATTCACAAGGCATCATGGGCGGTATCTTGTTCTAGAGAATAGCACCAGAAGGACCGGGCGAGAAAGGTATCTGCAATAGGTTTTGGTCAGCTCCACGGGTGCGATCACTCTGTGTAAAGTAAGTTATCGTGTCCGTTCCGGAATCGAACTCACGACGGCGGGAATAACAGCCGGTAAACCCTAGCGGCAGATTCAGCGACTAACACAACGGTAAGGGTGAGTGGATAAGTCTCACAACCACTGGTACTAGTGCCGAGAAATCCCATTAGCCGCATCCATGTACAAGTAGATCTTGTGCCTGGCCACAAGTTCCCAGTTGACTGTGGGTGGCAGCACGCCCACAAACGGTACCAAACGTTGTGTAGATGTAAAACAGAAAAAATGAAAAATGAAAAAGAAAAACAGTACCTGAGCCACGCTAGCGCTCGCGCCATCAACATCATCCTTTCTGCAGCAGTGTCGGCGGTCGCCAAGCTACTCGATTTTCGACTCTTCTTACTGGTTTTCATCGCTTTCATAATATTGGGCAGAACTGCCCGTTGGACATACGATGTATAATAGATAAACAACAACAACAAACAACAACAACAAACAACAACAACAACAACAACAACACAAACCGCTCCCAGGGATGACTTGAACCAGGTAGCTCTCGTATCTCAATCATGGTCTTTGACCAATCCACTATTGCTGCCTAGCACTCTGTGGTCTGCCGTGATAATTCCGAAACAGGACATTTTGGCCGTGGATGCAGCGACGAACGAATATTTGAACCCTCGCTGCCAGGGCGTCCTCGACTCTAGGAAGACAGAGTCTCTCAAAGAGCCCTGCAGTGGAAGTCCGCTGCAGGAAGCCAAAGAAGTCACGGATCACAGCTTTCGTAATACGAGTGAGGGCGTTCATGTTTCTGGCCACCAGGGGCGGATAGATTGCGTTGGACGCGTATGTCTGGACATAATCAGTGCATGATCAAATAACTTTTTCGAGGAGACTATCGATTGCGTTGGACGCGTATGTCTGGACATAATCAGTACATGATAAAAATAATATCTTTTTCGAGGAGACTATCAAGCTTTCATGTGAGCGACATAGCGCATCAATGGAGCGTCGAACTTGGCGAATGGTGCATTCCAGAAGAGCTCATTAGCCACAATAACTCCAAGGTAGCGAGCGTGTGACACAATTGTTAGCAGTTTCCAGTCGCAACGCATCTACAGCGGTTCTGCTCTCTGCTGCCCACCATGAGGTGTTATAATTATGCAAGCCTTGTGTCTTCGTCTGGTCAGAGTTGCACACCACTGCTCGACTCCCAGATGCCTCCAGAACGATATCGTCCGCAAACCTCTTCATGGACGACGGGACGTGGGATGCAATTGTAGAAAATGCAGGGTGAAGAGCAGTGGGCCGAGAACGGATCCCTGTGGTACGCTTCGACTGCACGGTGTGTAGCCTGATATACTTCCACCAATAACTACACGCTTGTTCCGGTCGCTGAGGTAACTAGCAAGCCAGGAATTTGCAGTTGCTGTCACACCCATGTTGGAGAGCTTTTCCAGCAGCAATTATTATGTGCTTGACACAGTCGAGGCTTTGGACAAATGCTACGCCTGTTTCTTCCGCTCATACGTTGATAACAACCAGCGGTACACCACTAGGACGAGGGCGTCCTCGGTGCTGTGTGGCTTCCTGTATACAAACTGCGAAGTAGCAAGGAGATCGATTTCCATTATGTATGACATGAGTTGGGCCTCCACTAGTGTCTCCAGTAGACGAGCTACAATAGGCAGGAGAGAAAGATAGGCTGATAAGAAGCAGCTTGACCAGGATCAAGGCTACCACCCTTGAGCAAAGGAAACACATGAGCAAGTTGAACTGTTGTGGAAATCTCCCCGTCGAGAGCGAAGCGTTGAATATCATGCACAGAGACGGAGCTAATTCTCACGCGGACTTCTTCAGATCAACACCTGACAATTCATCATGGCCTGTGGCCTTGGATGAATCAACGGACTGCAGTAGGTTCATGACTGCTTCTGTTAGGGCGGGTATAAACTGGTTGAAGGTATTGGGATCGTTACATAATTAAACAAAGTATATTGACTCGTCTATAAATATACATCCGAAAGCAGGCTGGATGGGCGCCCAGGATGAGAAACGACTTTCCCAAACGCTGCAGGGAGCTCCGCCCCGGCTACCAGAGGCGGAGGTGGTGGCGCCATAAGACCACTGAAGGCATTCAAAATGTTCCACAACTTTCGAGAGTCTGTCCCAGAAGCCTCCAGGCGTTCCTTGAAGTTCTTCAGCTTTCTATCCAACTTCCCGGTTTCCGGTGGTGATTGTGCAGCTGAGCGTCCTCTGGAGAGCGAATAAGCAATTTGAGCCCAGCATTGCGCTGCCGTACAGCTGAAATAAGCTCGGGGATCAGCCAGCGACAAGGACGACGGTATCTGCTGCGAAGGAAGATTGACCCAAGCGATAGCCGAGAATTGCCAGCCATTTCGTCATCGTCCTAATAAAAAACACCACATGCTGCATAGCAGTCGTCGAGATGCTCATCGTCCAACGGCGGTAGTTTGTTTGTTTGTTTTTGTTTGAAGTTTTATTTTACATCGCAAACCAAACGGGCATTGATGCCCAATATTATGATGGCGATAGAATAAAAAGTGTAGCTCGATAATGCTTCACTTGCGAAAATGAGAAAACAGTCAAAAGGAAGTATTTGTACTGGTAATTACAAGTCAAGTTCGAACGAAGTAACAATCAGGGAGAAATAGGAAGATGAGCACCTATGCCAGAGGGAGGTGCTATTCGGCCATATTAACCGTAGAAAAACACTTTCAGCAATCTTTTAAACGGGGTTGGACGAGAGTTCCTGTGGCAGGGTGTTCCAAAGCTTCACGGCGGAAACCAATGGTCGGCTG